AAGAACTGAACCTTGGGGTCCTCCAGCATTAAGAAGCTGAGAGATAATGGGAAACTAGCAAAGGTTAAGAATAATCCACTGACTATGTAGGAGGAAAAGTATCTCAAGGAAGAGACAGTATCAAATGTAAATGATCTACTGTGTTAAAAGATACCATCGGGCTAAGTAAGATGAGGATGGGCATTGACTATTAATAAATTTGGTAGTGGTCACTGGTGACCTTTATGATTAAAGTTCCACTTGAGTAGTAGGAATAAAATCCTGATTGAAACAAGTCCCAGAGAGAATAGGAAGAGAGGAATTAGACATAGTAAGTAGATTACTTCAACTTTTACTGTCAAGGAAAGCCAAGAAATGGAGCTGTGGCTGGAAGAGAAAATATGAAGGGAATATTTATTTGATTGCATATGATGAATAAAAATAAGAAGCATGTTTGAAAGTTCATGAGAATAAGTAGAGAGAGAAACTTTGATGAAATCTAATGGGGAAAAGGGATGATGCAGAAGGAAAGAGGAGATTTGATAAATTTGTGTCCTTATGGAGGCAGGAAGAGATGGAGTCTGATGAAGGGGATGGTCTTTGAGAGGATTGGGAAGAATGGATTTGTTCTATTTGCTATAAAAGCAGTAAATAAGGTACATTCCATGAGGACAGGTATTTATCAAAGAAAAAATATGAAAAAGCACGGGTGCTAGATTCAAGAAACTTCTCATAGAGAAATACTAACTGAACTAAGACTTGAAGGACAAATAGGCTCTCCTAAATTGGAGAGAGTTAATGGCGATGAAGAGCATTCCAAATAGGAAAAATTTGCAATCCTGACAAGATGACATATACCCATTTCTCCCTGCTTCACCCTGATAAATTTAAACATTGGAGATAATGAAAGAGGCAACCAGCGGGGAACTCTGAAAGGAAGAAAATGGAAGGCAAACTGGTTAGAGACCCCAGGATTAGAGAAAAAGCAAGGTGGCAGTGCATTTTTACAATCCCTAACCAACCCAAAACAGTGACTCCATTGTTTCCAGCTTTACAATCTCACAACAGAAGACAGCCCAGGTAGGCTTATTTCTCCCTTGAATTGAAAATAAGTTCTTCAACAAGACCCAGCAAAACTTGCAGGCACCAGCCCCGGCAGTGGAGATAGGTGGGGAGTCCCATTGGTAATAAAGAGCCAGAGGAAGCATCCTTTACCACTCTTCTGCCCACACATTTCCTCCCCTAAAATGTTAGTGGTACTGAAAGGGGAAATCTCGAAACGTCTAGCTCAGGAGTCTCTTTGTCCCTAGGATCTGAGACTCTGACTTCCACAATAAGAGACATGTAACTGGAAGCACCGAAAGAGTGATTCCAATCACATAAGCATCTGCCAGGGAATCTTTTTCTTCCAATGAAATAAAGCTCCCTTTCCCACCTAGAGGCTTCAGGCCAGAGGAAATTCCTTCTGCTCCCTCAGGTGGCACTAGCAGGAACCAGTGGGAGTCCAGGGTAAATTAAGCAGACTGAAATAGCACCACAAATACTCTGAAAATTAAATTTTCATTGGTACCATCATTCACAAAAGTAGGCCAGAGGGCTGGGGCTGTCAAAGCTCAGCAGCAGAGTGCTTGCCTTGAACATGTGAGACACTCAGTTCAATCCTCAGCACCACATAAAAATAAATAAATAAAATTAATGTATTGTGTCCATCTACAATTTAAAAAAATTATTAAAAACAAAGTAGGCCAGAACCTGCATGCTAAGCCTAATAAGGAGGCTGCCTACTAAAATAAAAGAATTAAATGGGATGCAATACAGATTGGCTAACATAATAGCAAAGTGTCCAAGATACAGATCACTAAAACACAGGGAACAAAGAAGAGACATGGAAGTATGACAATCATTGTCAGGTACAGCAAGAACTTCATGGCCCAAATGGCTTCACACTGGTGAATTCTATGAAACATTTAGGCAACAGAAAAGGGATGTCACCAGAGAGGAAGTATCCAAGTAATAATTATGAGAGCCAGAGTCAGCATCTGCTGCTGACTATGTACTAGATACTATTCTAAGAACTTAAAATGGTTTAGTTCTTTTGTTACAACAATCCTATAATTAGGCACTGTCCTTACTGTGTCTATATTTCAGATAGGTAAACTGAGGCACCAGCAGGTTGATTAATTTGAAATAGCCACACAGTTCATAAGTGAGAGTCGGGGGTCTACAAACGGCCAGTTATGCTCTTAATCTCCACTTCATACCACCTGTACTTAGGGTGATATAAAGAATCTGAGAACGGACAGTGAAAGGCCATAGCTATCTTTCTAAGATATCTAGATTTTTATTCTATAGGCAAATGACTACATGAGCATATCTGTGTTTCAAAAAAAATAACTTTGGAAATAAAATAATTAAGAGGAAGAAGAGAACACAAAAGGAAAAACAGAGAAAGCAAAAATCAGAAATCTAAACTACCCTAGTGTCAATGTTATTGGTAGGAAACCATTACAGAGATAAAAGGGTTCCCTAGCAAGAAGACATAATAATATAAGTGTTTGTGCAGTTAATTTCAAAAATTAAAGATACATGAAGGAAAAAAAACGATAGAATTTTAAGAAGAAACAGATGAATCCATAATTATAGTCAGAGGTTGCAACACACCTCTTTCAATGATCTAAAGAACAGGGAGCTAGAAAGCCAGTAATGACATACATAGATGAACTGAACACCAGTAACCAACTTTTGATTCTAAAATTGACATTTATAGAATCCTCTAACCCAAAGAGCAGAATATTAAAACACAGAGCACTTACAAAGATACCCTATAAAGCAAATCTGAATTAAAAAGTCAAAGCTGAAAATCATATTTTATTACAAAAAAAGTAAGTAAATGAAAAATCAAGAACAATAAGGAATCTGGAGCCCCCATTCCAAAATATTTGGAAAGCAAATGGAGCCTTCTAAGTATTGAAGCTGTCCTAGAATAAATCAAAAATAAAATTACAAAGTATTCTAGCTGAATGATAATGAAATTACAAGGCATTAGAATGTATGAAATAAAGCCCAAAAAGTGCTCCAAGAATGATAGATAGCACTAAGGCCTGAATTAGAAAAGCAAAGATTATAGCAATAACTTCAGATTCCATCAGAAGAAATAAGAAAAATACTTCATAAGTAGAAATAGAAGGAAAGAAATGATAAGGAGCAGAAATCAGTTGAAGAGGAGAAAATCAATGAAACCAAAGGCTAGTTCTTTAAGAAATCAGCAAAACTAAATAAATCTTAAGCCAGACTCCATTGGGAAGAAAAAGATGTCTTCAGAGAAGGCACAAGCTACCAAGATCTATCTGTATAATGTATGAATAATTAGAGATAAAACATCATTACAGATCATATAGTCATAAAAAGGAAAAGAAAAAAATGTTACAACAGATAACATAAATAGCTCTATTTCTATTAAAGAAATAGAATTTCCAATAAGAAAAATCCCAGAAGTAATAGGCCCAAATGGCTTCACACTGGTGAATTCTATGAAACATTTAGGCAATAACTACTACCAATTCTGCACAATATCTTCCAGAAAAACAAAGATGAGAAAATACTTCTCAATTCATTGTAAGAGGCCAGCATTATACGGATACTAAAACCAGATAAAGGCACTACAAGAAAAAACTAAAGATCTATATATTCTGAATTGATTTTGCTTTTGTTTAGCACATTGAACCCAAACATGCATGAAAATGATAGTAGTACACCATGACCAATGAAGGGTTATCTGCATATGAAAAGTTGGTCTAATATTTGAAAATCAATAAAACTCACCACATTAACAAATAAAAACTGAAAAATACACAGTGATCTCATTAGATTTATAAAAAGCAGTTGCTGAAATTCAAAAACCATTTCTAATGAAAAAAAAAAAACTCTCAGCTATAAGAGAACATTTCCTCAACCAGATAAATGTCATCAGTGAAAAACCTATAATCAATGTCATATTTAATGGCAAAAGTCTGTAAGCTTTTCCCACAATATCAGTAATGAAGCAAGGATATTTGTTCTCATGGTGAAATAGGACAAAAGAAACAAATTGAAAGCAAAAAAGTAAAACTATATTTGTGAGTATATATATGATGAGATCCCTGCAGAAAATTGAGTCATCTACAAAAAAGTTGTCAAAGCTAATAAATGAGATAAGCAAAATGTAGCATTCAAGGCCAACACAAAAGGTCAATTGTATTTCTATATGACAGTAACCAAAACTTTGGGAGGTAAAATGAAAAAACAATTAATAACATCCAAGAATAAAATAAGGATAAACAGAAGTCAACTGTATTCTAATTTTCTCTTCCTCACAAGTTCAGAATATTTAAAAAAAAGGAAGTGAAATTAAAACTAAATAGGAATGTGTCCTCAAGGCAATGTAAGTATATTTTCTTTATATTTACATACATTAAAAAAAAATACTTCCTCTGTGACCATCTTCAATTCACAGAAATGAAGCTCTTTACAAAGGAAATAAGTTTTCCTCTCCAAACACTGAAATGTAAAATACGCAGATAAGGAAGAACACTTAGACTGAAAAAAAACCAGGAGCGAGAAGCTAGTCTTAGAAGAAATGGAATGAAAGATTACAAGAGGTATGAGGAATTGTAACAAAGAGGAAGAGAACGGCATGTAGGTTTGGATATGTAAATAAACCCAAGCAATTTAAAGTTAATGACATTTCCACTAGAAGCTACATGTACTTAAGCAGAGAAAAGAAAATATGGCTTTAGAGTAGACAACCCTGTCAACAGTAGACAACCCCTATAGAAAGGAGATTGTAAGTAATGAGTTCAATCATAAACTTACTTATTTTTCAAAATAGTTATTTTACATGCTATAGATTTGAATAAAACACAAATCATTTTAAATTGCTACCATTTTTATTGTTTTCCAAACTGCATCCTCAGTCTTGGGGTTCCCTTTTTTTTTTATCGGATTCACAAATTTCTTTCAGATGACTAGGACCTGTCTACAACTCAAGAGAAGTCTTTTAATTCTATATTAATGGTATCTTTTATTTCAATACTGGGAACCTGTTCCTCTTTGACAATAGACAAATCTTCAGGAACAGGAACACTTTCTTCAAATTTTTTATTATCTTCTAAAACAACTGACACTGAGACACCTGCTATCTAGGGAGACTGAAGTTCAGGAAACACATTCTCTAGTACACATCCCCATTTGCAGGAGTTGGTTCAGATGGTGGAGGTGGAACTTCAGCAATCATCTCTTGCACAGGAAACTCTTCAGTGGGAACCACATCAGTTACTGAAAGATCTTTGTCACCGGGGTCATCTTCTGCAGGGACTTCCTCAGCTAATAAAGGCTGAATTTGAACCTGGACTTCTTCTGGAAAGAACTCCTCAACTGGTGGACTCTGAAATTGAAGCATGGCCTCTTCAGCTAGTAGAGACTGAACTTGAGCCAGGACCTCTTCTGGAAAGGCCTCCCCATCTGATGGAGACTGAATATCAGTCTGGACCTCTTTTGAAATGGTCTCCTTAGCTGGTGGAGACTGATCTAGAGACAAGTCTTCTTTTAGAGGGGACTCCTCAGCTGGTGGAGGCTGAGCTTCAGCAGGAGCCTCTTCTATAGGATACTCCTCAAATGATGGAGACTGAATTTCAACAGGAGCTTCTTCATTTGGTGGGGGCTGAACTGCAGCCGGGAACTCTTCTACAATGCCTCCCTCATCAATGAGAGGCTGAACTTTGGGAGAGTGCTTTTCTATAGGAGACTTCTTATCTGTTCGAGAATGCACTTTAGCAGAGGGCTTTTGTTTAGGGGCTTCCTTACTTGTTGGAAGTTCAGGTTCTAGGATCACTTCTGTAAGAGCCTCTACAACTGATGGAGGCTGAACTTGAGCAGGGGCCTTTTCTGCAGACTGTACTTCAGCTGGAGCTTCACCAAACTCATCTTCAGATACTGTAGGTCGAACTTCAACAGGAGTCTCTTCTACTAGTGGAAGCTGAATTTCAGGAGGAAGCTCTTCTGAAGGATCTACTTCAGCTAGTGAGGACTCTGCTTGACCAAAATGATCTTCTGAAAGAGCCTCTTGCACCAGTGGAGGCTGAATTTTAGCCAGAGACTCTAGGGAAGGAGATCCTTCATCTAGAGAAGGGGGTACTGTAATCTCTGTAGTTGAAGTAGCTTTATCAGATACAAGGGTCTTTTCAATTGTAGGTTGTACTTCAGTAGGGGTCTCGTCAGCAATCCTGGGCTCTACTTCAGCTATGGCCCCTTCAGCTGGTAAAAACTGTCCTTCTGCAGGGCCTTCAGGCTCTAGGGAAGGAGATCCTTCATCTGGAGAAGGGGGTACTATAATCTCTGTAGTTGAAGTAGTTTTATCAGATACAAGGGTCTTTTCAATTGTAGGTTGTACTTCAGTAGGGGTCTCTTCAGCAAGTCTGGGCTCTACTTCAGCTATGGCCTCTTCAGCTGGTAAAAAATGTCCTTCAGTAGGAAATTCTTCTGGTGGTAGATACTCTGTTTCAACAGAAGCATCTTTTTTAACAACTGAACCCTCTTGCCTAGACTCATCTGCTAAAAATAATGGAGTATCTTTTGGGGTTTCCTGAGTAAATGAATCTCTGTTGATATTTTTCTGCCTTTTTTTTCCATGGCTACTTATTGCTGGTTGAAATTCAGGACTGTCACTAACAAAAATCTTTTTTAAGGATTTATATATGTGGATACTTTCCTTTGAATTTGTAAGAGAGCTACCTGCCTCAGAAATAATCAGTATTTTTGATTCAGCAAAGTATGTCTGCTGTTCCTTGTCCACTTTTTCTACTTGGGGCAAGCTCATCACAGACAGGTCCCCAGTATAAATGGTCTGCTGAGATCTGTCTATTTTAAATTGAATTGAGTATTGGCTTGGTATAATTTCTACTCCCTGGACACCCTCAGGCAATTCGGGACCTGCTTTTCCAACACAAGCTGGCTTCTTTTTAGGCCCCACTGGTCTATCAGATGACTTGACTTTTTTCTTTTCCACAGAGGTTTCTGTCTGGAGAGATTCATCAGTCATTTTCTGTCCATGCTTTTTCTTTGCCCAAGTTTGCTGAATTTGAGAAGATACTTGAAAATGCTCATATTCTTTGGCAGAGTAGTGGCCATTGCTTCCAGGAATATTACCAATACTTAAGATAGCCTTGGGAACAGTCGATTGTGATACAGCCTGGTGTTTCTTTTTCTCTGTCCCTTCAGTCTGCTGGGATTTGTCTACCATTGGTTGGACAGTTCGCCTTCTCTTTCGAATTTCTTGCCTCCCGACTGAGATAGACTGACGAGGCACATCATTTTCTTCCATTTATAAGATGATGAATTCAAATTTATTAATCAAGTAATTAATCATTAAGAATCACAAATGTGCCAGCTGTAAATCTTTGCCTTCCTTCATTAAGACTTGTTCTACTGAGTTGCTTAGAAAAAAAGCAATTCCTAAATCATTACATTCTATACTACATTCTTGTTGGATCCCACCTTGTTCAGTTATTATCTTTCTTGTTTAGTCTCTGTTAGAACGAAATCTCATTTTTAGAAGTTCCTCTCAAGGGTCTGTGACATCACAGCACTTCTCCCTGCAAGGTTCCGGCAGTTCTGGTCCCAGCACTTTTTCACTGGGGCACAAATTCATCATCAATGACTGCAAGTGTGACATCTTATTACTTTGTGAAATAAATCAAGTTGAAAGAAGCATTTGTCTATCAAAGGAACATTAAGTAAGCTCCAGTAATACCACTTTCTAACTGTTGATTTTTTGAACTTTCAATTCAATCCTTTCCATTCTACTATCAAAGATGGTTATGATACAGAACTCAGAATGCTGCAGCACATTTGTAATTGTTGGAGAAAACAACTGATAATATATGTGAGAGTGTTCTATGAATATCTGTTTATATGACTTTAAAAGAAGTCAGTTCTGGGCTGGGGATGTGGCTCAAGCAGTAGCGCACTCACTTGGCATGTGCAGGGCACTGGGTTCGATCCTCAACACTACATAAAAATAAAGATACTGTGTCCACCTAAAACTTATATATATATATATATATATATATATATATATATATATATATATATATATATATGAAGTCAGTACTGTTCGAAAAAACTAGGATTCTTAAATCCATCTTCACATAGGCTCCTTTCCTGCATCCATGACTTCAGTGATCACAATAGCATCCCACCCAAATATAAGCCATGCTGTCCTTCTCAAACAGCTTCAGATATTTTTATTTCTGAATTATTTCAGAAAGTGGATCCACTCGAATTTTTTTTCAAATAAATGATTGTTGTGTCTAAATATATGCCAAGTTAAATAAAATGCATTATTCGAGGCAGTCACTATAACTCTGCTGAATAACCACATAGGAATGAATGCCCCGGTAAAGATGAAAAGTTCAAATTGAGTCTTTGGAAAAGTTAAGTAGGTTGTTGCTGCCATTGTATTAGATTTGAAATTTCTAACATAATAGATTTGAAAATTTAACTCCTATATCTCAAGAATTTTACTAGAAATATGTAAATTGGTCACAAAAAATATATTAAAATATTGTTAGTTCGGGGAAAATAAAAGAAGAAAAAGTGGACTTTAAAAATATAATCACAGACGTTAAAAATAAAACATCTGCCTGGGCACAGTGGCACACGCCTGTAATCCCAGAGACTCTGGAGGCTGAGACAGGAGAATCATGAGTTCAAAGTTAGCCTCAGCAACGGCAAGCTGCTAAGCAACTCAGTGGAACCCTCTCCCTAAATTTTAAAAATACAAAATAGGGCTAGGGACATGGCTCTGTGCCCCTAAGTTCAATTCTCAGTATCCCCCCCAAAAAATCTGCTAAATAATAATTATGACTTCATTAATCTGGAAATATTTTAAAATTTCTTATGCTGTATTGCTCCCCGCAAAAAACATAAAATTGAATCAAATAATCCTGTTTCATGCATTAGTGTTAGGAACTGAATGTTTGTATCCCCCTACCATTCATGCCATTCATGTGTTTAAGTAAAATGCCCAAGTTATGGAATTAGGGAGTGGGACTTTATAGATGATAACCATCTGCATTTGCATCTGCAAAGGAAGTGGACCTTTAACAAACAGATCTGTTAGCACCTTGATATGGACTACCCAGTCTCCAGAACTTTGAAAATTTAATTGTTGCTTATACTACCTAGACTCTTATGTATTTGTTAGCAGTTTAAACTAAGATACTTGATTTTAGCCAAACAAATGGGTGCTTTTCACATTCTTTTATCCCAGCCTCTAAAACAGTCCCGACTCTTGCATTGATCAGTGAATTCTTGTTAAGTACAACTGGAGAAAATGTGATTTAGAAAACATACTGCTTGTTAAAACATCTCACATGCTCTTTTCATTTTTGTCTGTTTTGCTCCACAGTCTCCTATGTTCCTAAGACTTAATGAAGTAAAGCAATAGTCATTTCAAAGAAGCATTGGTATAGGTTTTAATCATATCTGCTATCATTTGGAAACTGGATTATCAGCTTCTTTGTGTCTGGTGTCTCAATTATACATTTCAAACATTACATGTGTGTTTTGTAATCAGGTTTCTGACATTTGATGTAATATCTTCAAAATCTATTTTGGATCTTTTGGTAATAAGAAATAAGTTTCAATATTGCATTAACTGAGTTAATGTAACATCACATGAATTTAAGTAATTTTGCTTCCTCGACATCTATAAGATTTTATCCAATTTCCTTAAACATAAACTGAATTTTCAGTTAAACTAAATGAAATCCTCAATTTCCAATCCTTAGATATTTATATTTTCCCCTCCAAAAAAAAATAATTAAGAACTTTGGTGATTACCAAAGCTTGGCAAGGGTGTAGGGAAGGAAGGGTTCAAGAGAAAATGATTGATGGGTATATCTGTGTAGTTGGATAGGATGAATAAATTCTAGTGTTTCATAGAATAGTAAGATAATTATGGTTGGTGACAATTAAGTATTTCAAAATAGCGAGTAGAGAGGATTTTAAATGTTCTCAACACGAAGGAATAAATATCTTCAGTGATAGATATGCCAATAACTAAAATCTAATCACTATACATTGTACACATGTATTAAAATATCATTTAAATCCACAAATATGTACAATTACTTTGTGCTAATTAAAAATAAAACATTAAACAAATCAGAACTTGATCTTTCTTAATCATGAACCAAAATTTCATAAAAAAACTGATTTTTGCTACTAGTAATAACTTATTCATAGAAACAAATTGTCACACATACATAATCAATCAATTCAAAAATGCACCTAAAATTTCAAATGCAATTATGAGGAATTTAATGGAGCAGTTTCTCATCCTATTTCTTCCCCCCACCCCTTCATTTCTGGAATAGTTTATTGGTCTGTGTTAATTATACAGAATGGTGTGGGTTTCATTGTGGTATATTGTGGAAACCTAAAACATCTTTTTTTATATATATATATTTATTTTTTTAGTTTTCAGCAGACACAACATCTTTGTTTGTATGTGGTGCTGAGGATCGAACCCGGGCCTACCGCTTGAGCCACATCCCCAGCCCCGGGATGTGGCTCAAGTGGTAGCATACTCGCCTGGCATGTGTGCGGCCCAGGTTTGATCCTCAGCACCACATACAAAGATGTTGTGTCCGCCGATACCTAAAAATAAATATTTTTTAAAAAAAATCTAAAACATCTTTTAATCAGTTTTACTCCCTAATACCTACCCCACCTTCACTTCCTCCCTGCATCCCCTTTTTCTGCCCTACTGTGTCCCTTCTAATTTCACTGAATTTCTATTTTGTTCATTTGGTTTTTTAAAATTTTTTCCTTCTAGCTTCCCAAGACAGAGAAACACTCTCTTTGCCAGGATGATATACCCAAATTCACTAATCATTGCCTAGTCTCTCTTGTCAGATTAGGGCTTGAAATTTTGACTTTTTCCCCCCTAAATCTCATATAATTCAGCTCTCCCCCCACCCCCACCCCTTACTTTGTTCACATCTGTTAAGAGTTGAATCGTGTCCCCCTATGTGATATGTTGAAGTCCTAATCCCCACTACCTGTGGGTACGACAGATTAGAAGTAGGGTCTTTGCAGATGTCATCAAGTTACAATAGTGTTCTTATAGAAAGGAGAATTTGAACACAAGGACACAGAGAGAACAAGGCCATGTGAAGACAGCAGAGACTGGATACATACTGCCACACAGCAAGGAGTACCTGGAGCACCCGAAGCTGGAAGAGACAATAAGAGGATCTCCCCTAGATACTTCAGTGGAAGCATGGCCCTGTCACCACCTTGATTTGGGATTTACAGCCTACAGAACTGTGCGGAAATAAATTTCTCTTATTTTAACCCGGTTTGTGGGATCTTCCTATGGCCTCCCTAGGAAACTAATACAACATCCTTTCACAGTCCCATGTTTCTGACTCCTGCCTGGCATGCTCTATTTCTGACTTTCAATCTTTGGAGCTAGTTTCTTTACTTCTGTCTCAGGTCTGGCATGTATTTTTATACCATATTTGATATATCTCTATACTCATAAAACCAGAGGCATCTGCTGAGGACAGTCTCCTTTCAGTGATTTTGCTGATGAATCACATTTTTACCAAAGAACAAATTTGCTGAGAGGCAATTAATTTAGATATGGCAGAGATGCTTCAAATTAATATGGACCAAATGTCAAAACTGGGACCCATATTGCTTTGTTCTTAACTGAATAGATCAGGTAGGATAAAGCCTAAAAAATATGCATTGGATATAACAACCAAGAAACTGTTGGTAATATTAGTAAGAGCAATTTCAGTGGATGGATGAGAACAGAAGGCTAAAATTTTTAAATCTCTGTACATTAAAAATATATAAAATTAAAATGCAATTAGAAAGTAGAAAAAGAACAAGTCCAAAATATCACATGAAGAGCTATCATTAATTAAAAAAAAAACCTAAGAAATAAATATAAAAATAATGCCATAGAAAAACAAAGGGCATGAATGAAAAATATATAGAAGAAAAATAAATGACCACCAATAAGTACATGAGGAAGATCAAATTCACTTCTAAAATAGAAATCAAAATAATATCAATATAAAATTAGCAATGATTTATTTTAAAGATCATACCCCCAAAATAAATGAGAATGTTACTAATGAATGGTTGTGAATTTTAAATTTGCATTTGAACTGATATACCATTTACTCTAGATAATTTTAAAGTACATATCAAAGTTTCTAAATTCCAGAGATTTCATGTATAATATAGTAACTGTAGTTAACAATAATGTATTATATACTATAATATTCCTAAGGGAGGGGC